TTGGGGACGCCTGGGTTTCTTAAGTTGAATCTGTATGTAAGTCAGAACTGGCGTCCAGATTCAGCCGCAGTTGAAACTGATCAGTTTCAGCAGCGGCTGATGCCAGTTCCGACTTACATACAGATTCAACTTAAGAACAAACCTACAGTCCCTATCTTGTACGTAACCCGGGGACTGCCTGTATTTGAACTATCTATTCACCATCTCCTTCTTTTTTTTCCCTCCTCTCCGCCCCTCCCCCCTTATTTATTCTTGGATCAGGACTTCTGATACTCCAGTCATCTGAAGAAGTGGGTTTTTTCCACGAAGGCTCATGATACCATCTACATATTTTGTTAGTATTTAAGGTGCTACTAGACTATTCATTGTTTAAGTTTTTTTTTAACTTTCCCTCTGTCTACTAATCCATTTACCACAAGAGAGCTTAAACCCTGAGCACCTTTTATCTGCCATCTTTATTTGTTTTGAAGTACTTAGCCAATTTCTCATCGACAATGCACAAAATGACACAAAGGTTCATGAGAAATATTCCAGTGGAGTCAGGCTCAGAAGAACAACTACTTCATTTGCAGAACCCTCTCTTAAGCTATGTTAGAGAAAGTGAGAGAGCAGCTTCCCTTTTAAAGCATACCATGCTCCTTCCAACCCGAAGTGGGAATAGTGGGTGAGAGTGGATACCTCTTTTCTGAGAGGCCGAAAGAACGGCCATACTGGATCAGGCCAAGGATCCATTTAACTCAGTATCCTGTATTCTGACCAGGGCCAGTGGCAGATATTTCAGAGGAAACAAGGAACAAAAGTGGGCAATTGAGTAATCTGTCTCCTATTAGCCAGTGCCAACTTTTGGCAGTGGGACAATCTGAGAGCACCCAGAACATGGGATTCTGCCCTGGACCATGTTCATTGTCCTTCATGAACTTTTCTTCTTCTTCTCTGAAACTAAGTATAGTTTTGGCCTTCGCAAGGTCTCCAGCAACAAGTGCCACAGATTGACCATACACTGTGTGTAAAAGTACTTCCTTATGTCTGTTTTAAACTACTGCCCATTGGGCTCACTCAAATGAATTCCACGTTTTTGTGTTGTGAAGGGATGAATAACACATCCCTATTCACTTTTCTCCATGGCATTTCTGATTTTATGAATCTCAGTTATCTCTCTCTCTCACCTTTGTAATCTGTTTTCTAAGATATACAGTCCCGGTATTTTTAATCTCTCTTCATATGAAAGCCATTTCACACCTCTCATTGTTTTTGTTGCCCTTCTGTGTACTTTTTCCTATTCTAATGTATCTCACCGGTGACAGGACAACCAAAACTGTGTACATTTACACAGTATTCAGGGTGTAAACGTACCAGGGATTATGTAGTGGCATGATATTTTCAGTCTTCTTATGCTGATGGTTCCTTACATCTGATGGTTCCTTTGCTGATGGTTCCTTACATCTGTTTTCCTTTTTGCACTGCTGCTGCTCATTGAGAGTGTTTTCAGAGTACTTTCAACAATAGCCCAAGATCTTTTTTTTCGAGTAGTAACAAATAATTTCGATCCTGTCATTCTGTGTATATATAGTTATGATTGTGTTTTCCATTGTGCCTTTCTTTGCATTGAGCAACACTGAATTTAGTCTGCCGTTTTGTTGCCCGGTCACCCAGTTTGGCGAGATCTCTTTGTAACTCTTCGGCATCTGCTTCAGATGTCGTTATCCTGAGAAATTTTGAATCATCTACAAATTTGGGCACCTCCTTGTTTATCCCTTTTTCCAGGTCACTGCATTGATCCATCTGTGGGTACCCTGCTATTTTAACTTCTCCACTGTGAAAACTCACTATTTATAAAGAAACAATGAGGAGTCCTATGGCACTTTAACGACGATAACACACTTTTTGGGACATAAGCTTTCATGGGCTGGAACCTACTTCATTAGATGCACCATTCCTCTCCTTTGGTTCCTATCTCTGAACCAGTTACTGACTCATGAGAACCTTCCCTCTTGCCCCCATGATTGCTTAATTGCTTAAGAGTCTTTGGGTGAGGGACCTTAAGAAAATAAGAATGACTCAAACCAATGGACCAGTTCCCTGCATCTGGCAGTCAGAGGCTTTAGTGACTCCCAAAGCTTGAGGTCAGTTGTCCAGTGGTTTCATTGATAGGTTTGGCAAGCTTCCTGCTTTTGATGTACTTTTAAAAAGTTGCTGCTCTTGCTGATCAGAAAACTCTTTCTGTAGTCACCCCAATAGAGTCTTTATAGTCCAGGTGTGTTTGTATTTGAGACACAGTTACACTGGCTTGGCATTCACTTTCATCACTCTGTCCATGAAGCCATTCTTTAGCCTATGTGGGCCTTAGACAAGCAAAGCTTTGATTTCCTTGGCTAGGGAACTGCTTCATGTGGATCCCCAATTTATTTTTGAATGTAGGCTATTGTAACTCCCACACCTACTGTGTTTACGTCTGTCTCTGGCAATGGAGTGGCACTTAGACCACTTACAGAGCGAGAATGAGTGTGCTCTACAGTTCTAGCTGAGAGCCAGCAGGCTTTTAGCTCAAGCTGGAGAGGCTCATGCACTAAGCTCCAGAGGTCCCAGGTTGGGTTCCACCTGTCGGGCATGACACTATGATTGCAGGATGGTCAATTTGTATGATAACAGAGCAAAGAAGATGGTGTATTTTAAAAGATAGCAGAGCACTGTAGACACCCTTACGTTCGGAACCAGATGTATTATTTTTGTGCTGTGTGAGCCAAAATCCAGTAGCCATCGCATGATAGGGTTTTCTGTCGACAGAGCTCCCCGAAAGCAAAAAGTACATAATTTGTTATCCATCTGATTCTGGGCCCAAGGATGCCTTCCTTGGGATTCCATTCAGAGAAGAAAGACAATATCAAGTGTTCAGAGAGTGGGTGCATCCTAATGCCTATGAAGGGTGATACAATTTCCATAGTTGAAGGGTGAGGAACTACAAGAGTCTTCCATCTGAGGGCTCTCCTACATTTTAAGCTCAGATTAGTCCGAAAGAGTCTGGCTAAAAACCTGAAACCAGAACAACTCCCCAAGGAGGGACTTCTCCATCTTCCTTTGGAGAGGCTTTATGTCAGCGCTGTGAATCTGACTACTTCTGGGGGCTTTTTGAATCTTTTGTTTCAAGGTTCTTGAATCCTCAGATTGCCAAAAGAGACCTCTTGAATTTCCACGAGTTTAAGTATCCAGGAAACATGATGGGGATTCTGAGGAGTTGGCACCAGGTAATGAAAGGTGAATGAGCACAAACTCTTAGGAAAAGGGGAGGGACCAGTGTTGTCCTATTAGGCCGACAGGCTTGGATTTTCTTGACTGGTGTAAACATCAGCCTGTTTCCCCTGGAAGTAACCTCTGTCCAGAGACATACAGGACCAGTGTTGCCAGGGTCCTGTCAGGTTCGAACTGAGGGACTGGATCTTGAGGACAAATCTTTTGAAGACTCTGGGTATGCTAAGCAGTTAAGTCGATGTCTTCCTATAATCTAGAAAGACTATATCCAAAGCCAACTGCCACGTCTACACGTTTTCAAATGTTGGAATGCTAAAATGTGTCCAAAATCAGCAGCGTTCAGTACGTACCTTTTTTTTTCCCTGTGCAG